AGTAGGAAAAACTTCTTTAAATCCACCAGCTGTGTTCCATTACTGAAAAGTAGAAAGTTTGAGCTTCTGAAAAGTCTGATCATAGCTTTTGTTGTCTAATAGCAGGAACTTTTGCTGTTAACCAGGAGGAGTACACAGAGATTTCTTGGGACCTGAGCTCTAAGGGAATTTGTTACAGTTAGTTCTGGAACATGCAAAAATTAATCTAGACACAGACCTTATAATCTTCACAAAAGTCAACTCAAAATGGACCACAGACCTAAATATAAAATACAAAACTATGAAACTAGGAGATAACATAGGAGAAAATCCAGAGGACCGTGGGTTTGGCAATGATTCTTTAAATGCAACACCAAGAGCATGAGCCATGGAAGAAAGAATTGATAAACTGGATTTCATTAAAATTAAAATGTTCTGCTCTGTGAAAGACACTTTCAAGAGAATTAGGAGACAAGCCACAGTCTGGGAAAAAATATTTGCAAAAGACATATCAGAGAAAGGACTGCTGTATAAACATACACAGAACTTTTAAAACCCAACAATAAGAACACAAACAATCCGATTTAAAAATGGGCCAAATGCCTTAACACACACCTCACCAAAGAAGATACACAGATGACAAATAAGCATATGAAAAGATATTCCACATCACATGTCAACCAGGAAATGCGAATTAAAATAACCATGAGATACCATTACGCACCAATTAGACTGGTCTAAATCCAGAATATTGACAACGCCAAATGCTGGTGAGGGTGAGGGGTAGCAGAAATAATCATTCATTGTTGATGGGAATGCAAAATGGTACAGCCCACTTTGTTTGTTTATTTAGTTATTTTGAATTTAAATTTTACTTGGTTAACGTGCTATGTTAACCTAGTTAACATGCAAAATGGTACAGCCACTTTGGAAGGCATTTGGGCAGTTTGTTACGAAACTAAACCTCCTCTTACCATATGATCAAGCAATTGTGCTCCTTGCTATACCCGAAGGAGCTGAAAACTTATGTCCACACCTAGATCTGCACACTGTTTATGGCAGCTTTACTCACAGTTGTCGAAACCTGGAAGCAACTAAGATGTCCTTCAGTAGGTGAATGGATACATGAACTGTGGTACGTTCAGACAATGGAATATTATTCGGTTTTAAAAAGAAGTGAGCTATCAAACCACGAAAAGATGTGGAGGAAACTTAAATGCGTACTTTTAAGTGAAAGAAGCCAATCTGAAAAGGCTACATAGTATATGATTCCAAGGATGTGACATTCTGAAAAAGGCAAAACTATGGAGACAGTAAAAGATCAGTGGTTTCCAGGGATTAAAGGGGAGGGAGAGATGAACAGACAGAGCACAGAGGATTTTTAGGGCAGTGAAACTACTCTGTATGATACTTCAGTGGTGGATACATGTTATTATACATTTGTCCAAATCCATAGAATGTCCAACGCCAAGGGTGACCCATAATGCACGCTGTGGACTCTGGGTGATAGGTCAATGTAGGTTCATCAACTGTAATAAATATATTGCTCTCGTGGGGGATGTCGATAGCGGTGGAAAGCTATGCATAGGTGGGGGCAGACAGTATATATGGAATCTCTGTACCTTCTGCTCAATTTTGCTATGAATGTAAAACTGCTTTCAAAAGTAGAGTCTAGGGGTGCCTGGGTGGCTCAGTCAGTTAAGCGTCTGACTGCTGGTTTCGGCTCAGGTCATGATCTCATGGTTTGAGAGTTCAAGCCCTGAATTGGCTCCTGCGCTGACAGTGAAGAGGCTGCTCAGGATTCTCTCTCTCTCTCTCTCTGCCTCTCCTGCGTGTTTTCTCTCTCAAAATAAATAAATAAAAAGTAAAGTCTATTAAAATATTATAATCAAAACATCTGAGCCATAAACCCAATAAATATTTAGATTATAATTTAGAAAAAAATTGAAGCCTCGGAGAGCCTGGAGTTAACCAACTTAAGAAAAACATGCATGGGGGCGCCTGGGTGGCGCAGTCGGTTAAGCGTCCGGCTTCAGCCAGGTCACGATCTCGTGGTCCGTGAGTTCGAGGCAGCGTCGGGCTCTGGGCTGATGGCTCAGAGCCTGGAGCCTATTTCGATTCTATATACTCCTCTCTCTGCCCCTCCCTGTTCATGCTCTGTCTCTCTCTCTGTCCCAAAATAAATAAGCACAGTTGAAAAAAAAATTTAAAAAAAAAAAAAAAAGAAAAACATGCTGATGGGTGTGCTTGGGTGGCTCAGTTGGTTAAGCATCTGACGCTTGGTTTTGGCTCAAGTCATGATCTCATGGTTTGTGTGTTCGAGCCCTGGATTCTTTCTCTACATATGCTATCTCAAAATAAATAAACTTAAAAAAAAAAAAGTGCTCATTTCCTACAGCTTCTTTTCCCACTAATAGAACTTTATGAGCCCTTAAATGGTACTCCGGGATGTATCACTTTCCAAATGGGGTGGGGGTGGGGGCTGTGGCTGCAGCTGACCTCAGGTCTGTTCCCCTCCTGCTGCACCCCTACCAGGTGTGGTACTCCCAGGCCCAGGGGCCTCTACCTGAAAGTCCCCTTTCAGCAGCTGTGGCTGGGCCTTGAGTGATTAGGAAATCGGCAAAAAACAGTTGCTGTAAAAGAAATCCAGGAATGCCTGCAATTGTGCTTCTTACCAGCCAACAGCTCTGAAAGAACAGGAAAAAAAAAAGCTTTATTTGAACAGTTATTTGGGTCTGTTGTTTTATCATTGTTTCTTAGTAAAAAGTTCTTAAACTCTTAAAACTGCTTGTAAGCAACAAAGCGAGGAAGTATTCTGTGCCATGCCTGAGGTGGAGTGGGGGTGAGGGTGGAGAGTTGGTGGATGAGGGAAAAGGAAGGGAGCCAAGGAGCTGATTCATTCATTCATTCATTCCGTGAGCCAAGCATCCAATAGTGAACACCAGTTTTCTGTTTCTATTCTTGAAGTGGGAAATACAGGCAATAAACAAAGAAACAGGTTATTTAACAAGATGATGTTAGAGCAGAATAAGATGATGGGCATGATGTGAGGACTGGGAGGCTGAGATTGGGACAGGGTACTTTTATTTTTTTTATTTTTTAAATTTTTTTTCAACATTTATTTTTTAGGACGAGAAAACAGAAACATGAGTGGGGAAGAGAGCAGAAGAAGAAGAACACAAAATGAAGCAGCCAACAGCAGGCTTAACTCGGACAGATAGTGACAGTGGGACTTTTTGCCTTCTTCCTTCAACCACCAAGCGCCTAGTAGAGTACTTTTATTAAGCATGTGGGGAAGACCACTGAGCAGGCAGAGACCAGAATGAGGTGAGGGTGCCAACTGTGTGAGGGTCCCTAGCTAAAGGTGCGGTCAGTCTTAGAAAGGGCCCTTCTGCCTTCTCTGGATAACTCATTTATATACCAAGGTGGCAGAACAGGTTATTTTCTTTCTTTCTGGCCTCCTTCTTGAAATGAGACACAAATCCATTCCTTCTTTGGGGCTGGGTACCTGGTAAATCTGACTGATGCTGCTCAAGGCTTCACAGAGAAATTCTTGGCATATATCAAGACAAATGAGGTCATATGTATATATGCCAGCCTAAGCTAAGGAATGGGATAAGTGCTGTGGAGTTCAAAGGGGAGAAGGGCAATTCACAGGGCAATAAGAAAGATGTTTGGTAATTAGATGTTTGCCCTGCTATACAGATGTTAGATAAAATTTATCATCGGTAATAACTCTCATTCTAGAAAAGACACCCAATTTAGATACTTCTAGGCAGTTAAAGGAGGGGCAAAGTTTCTCTTGAGTTCCTCGGGGTCTGGAATGCTTTCAGTTCCAAACAGTCCACATGACAAAGTGGCACATTTTGGGGACACCTGTTCTGAATCCCTTCATAAGTCATCAGCAAGGATTGCCAGGTCTCTGCCCGGCATCCATCCTGGAGGAAGTAAGCCATCCAAAACTGTCTGGTGCAGAACAACGTCTCAGGTTGGGAGTTCTAAACTTGTAGTCCAGGGCCTTCAGCTCTAATGATAAGATTTCAGTGTGTAACAGGACTCCAACCGTCTTAAGGGTTAACTTGCTTCAAGCTTATGCACTGTTTGCTTGCTGACCTAAGTCCCTTGATCTACAGCAGAACCAGCCTAATTTCCTTGAGATTTGCAGGCCTTGAGGAATGAAGGCCCACGCTTTCCCAGAAGATAAGGCCTTGCTACAGTCACAAACAGCCGCCGCTGACTCCAGCAAGTCTGTTTAAGGTCACATCCACATACGACTAGCTGCCTGGCACCTGCTTCTCTGCACTTAGCTCTCCTCCCTTTTCCAATGCCTTCCCCTTAAAAACCCTCAGGCTTCGCCTGATCGGGGAAGATGGTCTTTGAGAAGTTAGTCTACCATCTTCCCAGGTTGCCGGTTTCCTGAATAAAAAAACAACCTTCTTTTCCCACCGTTACTTGTCTCTCGAATATTGATTTTCCAGCAGGGAGCAGCTGAACCTGGGTTCAGAACCTGTTCTCTGTCCAATAACAAGCCCGCGCAAACCGCTTGTGCATTTCCCCGGGAAGTGTCTAGAGCAGTCACCTCTCAAAAGGGGGCGACGTCTCCAGAATAGCGATTGGCCTAAGGACTCCACGGCCACGCTCCTACTACTGGGAAAACCGACAAGGTCAGGTTCACCACCCCTTTCTCGGTTGTGAGGGCAGAAAGAAAAACCCCCGGAACCCTCCCAGGCGCGGCGTAAACGCATCTCTGCTAGGTGTTACGCCTAGGTTCGGACTTTGGCTACTCTGGCCACACGGGCCGTCGCACCGAAGGTCGTCGCGGGCTGTTTGCTCGCCAGTCGCGCAGCATTGTGGGGCTGGTAGTCCCCGTTGGTGCGTGGGTGCGGGCTGCCGAAGCCACAGAACTACACCTCCCAGCAAGGACTCCGGCAGCAGGAGGCGCACGTTCTGTGCGTGAGCGACCACACTTCCGGACGAGCCGGGGGGCGGGACCGTGGCGGAGGCTGGAGCTTGGCGTCGGGATGCAGCGCCCCGGGCCCTTCAGCACCCTCTACGGGCGGGTCTTGGCCCCGCTGCCCGGGCGGGCCGGGGGCGCGGCCTCTGGCGGAGGCGGGAACAGCTGGGGTGTCCTGGGTTCCCACGTGCAGCCTCCCGGGCGCACGCAGTCCGGGACCCGCGCCGGCGTCGGCGGTACAGGTACCTACGGCGGGGACGCCAACGGCGCCTGCCCGGCCCCCTCCACGATGTCCAAGGCCGAGGAGGCCAAGAAGCTGGCGGGCCGCGCGGCGGTGGAGAACCACGTGAGGGTGAGCAGCTCCGGGCGTGGGGCTCCTGTGCTCTGCCTGATGGGCTCCTGTTGCGCGCTCTGGGCCGGGGGGTGCGTGAGAGGAGAGAGGGTGCACACTTTATACGGGTTTAGATCCCTCCCCCTGCCCCCCGCGCTTTTCCTTGCTCCTTAAAGATCTTTTAGATGTGGAATCAGTTGGGGGCGAGTTTCCTAAAAGTTGATGTTTCTAAAAAGACTCCTTGTCCGGCGGGGTAACACTTTGGAAAGTGGAGTCTGGTGGTGTCTGATGTGTTTGGAGTGGGGCTGGCAGGGACTTGCTGTGCGGCTTCCTTATCAACAAATGGCAAATGGTGAGTCCTGAGGCTGCCAAGAGCTCTTCATCGCTCTTTATTGTGCTGGGAAGTCTGTGGAGAGCTGTTCTGAAAATTGCGTTGAAATTTCACTCCAAGGAGGTTCTTAGCGTGGCGCGCGTCCGGTCCTGAGTGTACTCGCTAGCGAAAGAGAGACAGGAAGACCAAGGCTTTAAACCTCCTGCTTTTCACAGGGGTGGGTGGGCGCTTGCATTTTGGAGGAAGCTGTTCTTTAAGGTTGGGGCGCAGAGATGTCTAGGTGTTACCGGTGAGGTCGTGGCCCCACTTGTTAAGTGGCGGGTGTGGTGCTGTTTAGTGAAGTCTCTTAACTGGAGTGGATTTGCTTTTATCAGTCAGGTTAATTATCTTAATTGTGGTACTTCCTCGGAGCCAAGTGGAGTATCTCTGCCCTTTGGTGGAGTTTCCTGGGCTCTGTTGGGCTTTTTGTCTCTCTTTTTATTTCTTAGAAAGTGGTATCAGATTCTCTCTCTCCTTTAATGGTAGTTCTTTACGTTTACATTTGTTAATGCTTCAGCATATAGAGTTACTTTCCATTGATATATGATGTTTGATCCTCAAACAGCTCGACTAAGTGGGAGGGACCAGTGTGGTAACTTGTTTCTACGGAAACATGTTTTGTAGAGGAATGCCCAAGGATCCTCCGGGACCCAAACTGAGTGACTCCTATTCCAGTGCCCTTCCACCAGCTCCCCAGCTGCCCTGTTCTGGTGTATTTTGTTCCAAGTCTGGTTAGCAGTGGAGTTTTCCATGGGAATTCTCAGAGACAATGCAAAATGTGCAGTCTGGCTCTGCTTTTGGGATTCAGTGCCTCAGCTGAAAAATTGGGACAGTAAGCTGAAATTTCAAAATGCCTGTATAAAGTGAGTAATTAATAGATGAGTAAATGAAATCTGTACATACCTTTTCCTATTATTTACATTAATACTTGCTGACATTAAGTATTCTTGGCTTAGGTTTTATAATGTATTTGCTTACATAAAAATCTGTAAGCCCCCACCTGAGGCTAGAGCTACAAAACACTGGATTCCAGCCGCATTATTCTGTGAAATTACCGGGTGATCATGGGGAGAGCTTCGTTGGCACTTTGGGGGCGCCTCACACCAATCTCAGTTGCATCTGCTTTGCCTACAGAGCTTCTTCCTGAGATGCTACCATTACCTGAATTTTGTATTTTCTGCTTTTAAATGTTGATTTGTTCATTTCATTCGTTTGCCAGATATTTGAGTGTCTGATATGTGTCAGGCAGTTAGTGTGGTGGCCAGAAATGTTGCTTCAGGGAGAAGGAAAATCATTTCCTGTATACTCCTGCAAACAGGAGAGTTCAAATCTACACATTTACTGAACATAGTCATGTGCCTGATGGTCAAGGCTTAGCTACTAGCTGCCCTCTGGGGAGTTGGGGGAGAGGGGTATCCTTTGTCCCAATCTAAGCCATATTTTCTTCTAGTGCCTTGTGTCTTGAAATTGTTCACTTGTGTCAGTTTATCAAGGTGGTCATGTGCCAAGTCCTGTTGGTCCCACCTTTGGAATGTTGTTAGAGCTGACCCTGCCCTTTGACCTATCACCTTTACCAGTTTAAGCTCTCCCCATGGCCAGAGGACAGCAGTTGCCCTTATCTTGTCCCCTCTGCCAATCTACCAAGTGATCCATTATCATCTTCTGAAGCGCTCATCTGCTCTTGTCACAGTGGCCGTCAGGTGGCCTCATTTTAATGTCCCTGTTAACATCTAAAGTATCTATTGCGAGCCCGGTACTGGGCCAGCTGGAGAGAATGCACAGACGAGAGTCATTTTTCTGAAGCCCACAGTCTTGTTTCCTTCTATAATTCTTTGTCCTCCATGTACCAGAACGTTGGAAAAGTCAGACTACTAGCATATAGTGTGTTTTAACATCACTACACTTTACCTGGAATACTCGCTCTTGTCCTCTGACCTTGCCTGTTAAAGTTGTATATGTCCTTCAGGGTTTGGTTCAAAGACCATTTCCTCCTTTCGGTTTTTCCTTAGCCTCCTAAGTAGCGGGGAGATCTTTTCGATTTTGTAGTGCTTTATACCTCTTAGATGCCTTATGGTGTCTTATGTTCTAGTCATCTGTATGTTTATCTCTCCTATCCTCCTAAAGAGTAAGTAAGCTCTTAGTGGATAGTTAACCTTATCTTTGCTCAATGTTGGTTGCAGCAGGGCCTGCCTGGTAAATGTTGGTTGAGTTGGTGGAGTGTGGACACAAATATGGAGGTTGTGGGGTTATTGGTGGCCCTTTGCTTAGTTAGATAGAATCTCTGGAGTGTAGGGTTTCCAGTTGCCCAGCCCATTGGTGTTCCACTGTGGTGACCACTTCCACGTCTGGATGGATGGAGAACCTGGAGAGTTCTCAGCTGAACCCTTTGGGTAGCCACCCTGATCTCAGATGTGCCTGTTCCTGGCAGTATAGCCACCCAGGATGGGTTACCATGCAGGGCCGTGTTCTCCTGAAGGTCTGTAGCTCCCTTTGTTCTCTTTGGAGCCTGGCTTTGTTTCTTTGACCGGCTTAGCTTGAAGTTGGTGAGCAGTAGCTCCAGTTGGTCAGCAGAAGTGTTTCATATGACATGTGGTTTGGTATTGCCCATCAGAAGGGGCCCGTTCCTCCTGAAGAGCTTGCTTGGCAGCTGCCTGCTGTTGGGCCACCTCACAGGCAGCCTTTGGCTATCTCTGTTTCGCTTTGGCTAGGACACTGATTCCTGGGCCAGTCATTTGATTCCATGGTAGGAGAACCACGTGGTTGAAGAGCTTGCGCCTGGCAGACCTCTGTAATTCCTGGCCTCCTCCACAAAGGGAAGAGCCTTGCGTAGAGCTTGTCTGACTTACCAGAGTTCATCTGTGTGCCACCTGCCTGCTGGGAGCCTGTGAGCGACATCAGTGTATGGTAATGAGGATGACTGTATAGCTAGAGCTGTCAGCTCCGGGTCAGGTGTGAGAGTCAGGTCAAGCCTACGTAGGCATCAGTAAATTAAGTAATTTTCTCATTCTTGAAGATATCCAGCTATTTTTTTTAAGTTTATTTATTTATTTTGAGAGGGAGAGATGTAGAGAGAATCCCAAGCAGGCTCTGTGCTGTCAGATCATGACTTGGGTGGACATCAAGAGTCGGACGCTTGCCTGGCGCCCCCAGATATCCAGCTATTTTGACTGTTTTTGTGTTGTGACCTACCATTCACGTGTCTTGAAGACCTTACTGTTGACGGTTGCGCAGGTAGCTAAATGACTACTGGATGATGCATTGCCTTCATGAGGGCATCACTGAAGGTGGAGTACTGACCCAGAACAAGCTCTCTTCTGAGGGCCCCATGGTGGATTTGGTGATTTGGGAACTATGAGCTAGTCAAAGTGATTTCCATCAGGTAGCAAGCACAGAGGCTAATGGGTAAAGCCATCAGTAGGTAGAGGCCCAGCTGGAAGTGCTTTAGTGGCTGGGATATTAACATTTCATTTCTTTTTTGCAGCTCTCTCCGCTTGTTGGTCATGCTTTCTAATCCTTTACAGTTTGAGCTGTGGTCTTGCTTTGAGAAGGACTGTATCAGATACGGGCCCAGGGGCTAGCATTGGGTATTTGTCCTGTGGGGAGTGAGGGGTGTTGGCTCTAGCTCTCAGTTTGTCCTGAGTTGCCCCAGGATTTTTTGTCTCCTATGAAGTATTAAAAAACAAAATTCAACAGTAAAATTTAAAGATCTATTGGCTTTATTCAGTGGTTCATGAATCGGGCAGCATCCAACCTAGCACGTAGAAAGGAACTCCAAAGAGCTTTGCAAAATGAAAGGCTTTTGTAGTCAGATGGGACAGGACCTAGGAAGTTATAGTAGGCATAAAAGCAGGTTGGTTATTACAAGGTCACATTGCTATAGGGGATGGCAGAGTTCTCTCAGGCAGATTACCTAGCTAGTGCTGATCAGACAGTTCCTGACTGACTGGCTTAAGATTCCCTTTCTGGAAGAGCCAAAACTGTAATTAAGTCAAGTCTCGGTTTGGTGACCTGGGGCTTAGCATAAGTGACTCCATTTGGGGCCCTTTTTTTTTTTTTTTTTTTTTTTTTTTTTTTTTTTAACACTTGCTGCTTCCTATCAGGCAAAAGATTTAGCTTACTTAAAATGAATGTGCAATTTAAGCTGGCTTTACAAAAATGTTCTGCAGGTGAGTACTGAAAGATTCCTGGCCAATCCCCAGGGGCAGTCAGAAAAGAAAAGCTGTACAAAAAACACAGAGCCTAGGTATACCCTAAGAGTGAAAAGCAGAGTTTTCTACCTTCAGTGACTTTTCAGGGACTAGTCACAGGCATCTTCAGGTTGGTGGCATCACAGGGAAACTTCAGGGGGGCACCAAGCCCACCATCTAGAGCCTCCCTGAAGTGAGCAGAAGGGGTAGAGTCCAAAGTAACCTTTAGGGTGATGCAGCCTGGCCAGGTCTGAGGAACCAGAGAAGGTCCCTCAGGATCAGTCAAGAGGGTCCTTGGCTTCACACAGGATCAAAATCAAACTCAAGCTGGTAGGAAGTGAGAGCAGAGTTTATTGAATAGTGCGAGGGATAGATTATAGCAGACCTGAGTGTCTGGGAGACCCAGGAAGGACAGGAGAGAGACTCCCATTTTTGCTTGGGGGCTGGGGTTTTTATTGAGGACAGTGGCCCTGGGGTATGTGCCTCTCAGGCATCCTGGAACTGGTCAAAACAAGGATGAGTGCAGGGTACCTCTGTGGCTCAATTGGTTGAGCATCAGACTCTTGATTTAGGCTCCCAGGGTTGTGGGATCGAGCCCCGTGTTGGGCTCTGCTAAGCGAAGAGCCTGCTTGGCTCCTTGGGATCCTCTCTCTGCCCCTGCCCTACTCTCTAGCTCTTTCAAAAACCTAAAAATAAATAAAAATTAAATAAAAAAAGGATGAGTGCCCAGGTATTCCCCATAAGTCACTTATACCTATGCCCTGGAGCTAGGAGTCTCCGAAAACCCTTCATGATGACCCCGCCCCATCAGTACTTAGATGTTATCTATTGTGCTAGAAGACTAAAGATACCCTGAACTCCCTTACCTTTACAAGGAGGACATACTTTTATCGATACCATAAGGCATGTTTAGGGTGGGGTGGGGGGGTGCAAGTCCTAGGGATAAGGTTGAAGTGGTGGTGGTGAGGGTCCAGAGCCGATGGCCAAGAATTCTTGCGATGTCTTTGGTGCCAAGGTGCCTTTGCTAAAACATGGGGACAGGACCGGTGGGCCAAAGAGCTGCTCTGGGGTTCGAACTGATTATATACCTGGGAGTTTGGGGGAGGGTGTGTGTGTAAAGGCAGTGGGAAGTTCTCAGACTTTCATATGCTGATGAAGACTCAAGATACTGGAGGCCTTGCTTTTGTTGAGCTAAAGTTATTTTTCCTTCTAGCAAAGTATTAACGTTAAGACCATGGGGAGTTCCCGGAGGAATGTTTTACTCTGCCTATCTCAAGTATTTGTCAATGGGCTGCAGGTTATAAAGAAATTTAATTTTATCTACATTTTCTTGCCATTGTTCCCCACATCACTATGGAGGGGGAGGGTGATGTTAGGGTTTCGGGAAGCTGAGTCTGTAGGTTTCGGGAGATTGCCTTTTTTCTTGTAAATCATTAAAACAGTTGCAAACTGATGGAGACCCACGTCCTGCACGACTGTGATCTCGGTCAGTTTGTTTTTCCCTTTGCTTTGGTCTTGGGCGGCCAGAAGTGCCTGAGGAGTGTCACATATCCCACCTGGAGAGAGGGGTCTGGGGTGTTAGCTTGTGCTTTGCCCTCAGCTTGTCTTTGGCTCCCTCATCACTAGCAAGAATAGAAGCAGGAAAAAGCGAAAAAGCAGGGTTTTTCCCCCCCGTGGGGTCTCTTCAGTTTCCCTGTCTGAAGGGGATGGCAGACGTTTTGAAATAGGAAACCACATCAGCATCCGTCCACTTGATGCCAGAAGGTCCCTATTTTGCACAAGGCTGCCTCAATACGGGAAGAGGGTGAAGCTTAGTTAGGATTATGAGAAAGAGTCTTCACCAGCAGTAGAGACAATGGGTAAGAGTGCTGTGAGTACAAAGGACAAGAAACAGGCCTCAGGAGCCTGCTATCCTAAGAAAGGGGGAGAATCCCTGTGAGCAGACGAGGGGCAGAGTAGGGGCCCAGCTGGGGTCAGTTAGACCACAAACAGCAAAACAGGGTCAGGGTACTACAATCAGGAACTAATGTGGAGCTCACTCAGTTCCTAAGCAACTTCCTGCCAGACTAAGGCAAAACAGCTAGAAACCAGAGCAAAAGCTACCATTCATTAAGCACTTACCGAGAATATTTATTAAATGTTAATATAAGTCAAATCTCACAACAATCCCTTGTGACCTCAACCCTAATTATCTCCACTTTAGGGAAGAATTCAACACCATAAGGCAAAATTTAAGGAAATGAGCAAAAGACATTACTAAATATCCTTTCTTTGGAATGGCCTTCCACTAGGCCATTTACAACTCTGTGGAGAGACCTTTAACTTGTAGAACGCTCTTAATGCATGTAATTTTTGTTCATAGAAATGCAAATTTTATGAGAGTCAACTGATTATTATCCTAAGACTCTTGTAAATTCATTTCAACATTTCTTGACTGCATATGAATTTCGGTTCTAGGGTTTTTCCTGTGGACAGGTTGTAACATCTTTTCCCATTCACTCATTAATTTAATGAGCTAAATGAAATCTATGACCTATTCATTTTATATTGACATAAGTCTCGTGATTTTCTTTTTTTTTTTTTTAATAATCTTTTCACAATATCAGTTACCTCCTACATAACCTTACTTTGAATAAGCAACTTCAGGAAGTTCAGTATGCTGAAATATTTTGTGTCAAATTTCTTAGAGTTCCAGCAACTGATTAACAACTCATTGTGCAAGGGGAAGCCCAGAGTGAAAATTTTTTGGCTGTAAATGATGAAGTTTTGGGGTGATGGTGGGATGGTCCGTAGCCGATGGCCAAGAAAGAATTCTTGAAGAGGTCTTTGGAGCAAAAAGGTGATTTTATTAAGGCACGGGGACAGGACCCTGTGGACAGGAAGAGCTGCACTGGGGTCATGACAGGTTACTCACTATGTATGTGTATATATATATATGTGTGTGTGTGTGTGTGTGTGTATACATATATGTGTGTGTGCGTATGTGTATGTATATATATACATAGGGATATAGAAGTCTCTAAGGGATTTTGGAAGCAAGGTTTCCAGGACCTTGAGGGGCTAGCTGTTAGCTAGGGAAATGCCATTTTTTACTATTTCGTAAAACCTCAGTCATGAGACCTTTCAGATGTATATCGGTAGGCAATAAGTTCAGAGTATGATTGCCAGCGTATATCTTGGGGTGCTTGAGATTAAGGAAGTAGACTTACAGGTTCCTGAAGGTTGGGACAATGTTCAGCCAAGGTTCTCTTTTGTTCCTAGCAAAGTGCCATCATGGAGACAGTTGAGCTCCTAGAGGGGGTTTACTCTGCCAGTTTCAAGGACTTGTCAATGGACTGTAGGCAGTAAGGGAGTTTAATTTTTCATTTGCCTTAGTTTCCCACATCACCATGGCAAGCACTTAAACCCCTTTCCTTTGTTCTTGGGTAGCCAGGAGTGTCCAGGGAATATCACACATATTTCCACCCTGGGGGGCGGGGGGTGGTGGTGGTGCCAGCCTGTATTTTGCCCTCAGCTTACCCCATGTTCCCTCATCAATGAGCAAGACAACAGGCCCCGAATTAAGTCACTTGTGTTAAGCCTGTATCACCAAAAGAAGATTTAATTACATTTTCAACCCTCCCAGAAATGGAATGTTCTGTTAGTCCATCAGGAATTGTCTGATGGGCACTAGTTAGGTAATCTGCCTGAGTGGCCCCTACTGTCCCCTAAGGAAAAGTAACCTGGCAATAACCAGTCTGCTGTTTTGCCTGCTGTGACTTCCTTGTTCACACTTCCTTCTGGCTGTAAAAGTCTTTCATTTCGTGTAGCTCCTCGGAGCCCCTTTCTGTCTGCCAGATTGAATGCGGCCTGACTTGCTCAAATAAATTCTTAAAATTTTTAATGTGCCTCAGTTTACCTTTTTAACAGGAGGAAATGGTGATGTTAGTGTCAGATGAGAGTAGAAGGAGCTGTTGGTAAACTGCCATGGGCACTAGGCTAAAGTACTCTCAGTTGGTTCTGTTCAGTGCTTATGTTGCTATCAAATGGGCACAGCACCTTGATCTAGGAAGTGGGCTAAAGAGGGCGTCACATATGGTATTAATGAGTTTTTGTTTTTCCTCTCCTTTTTTTGGCAGAATAACCAAGTGCTGGGAATTGGAAGTGGCTCTACAATCGTTCATGCTGTACAGCGAATAGGTATGCTCTTGGGCTGTCTGGATGTTTTGTGGGGGCCACGGGGATGAGGATGTGGAAGAGGGGGATGGAGGGGGGCACAGCATTGGCACCTGCCCAGCTCTGCTCTTCTGAGAGGTATTCTTGGGCCTCTTCAGCCAACTTTGGGGGATGCCCTGGCTTTGTTTACTTTGCTCATGTGGAGGGTAGGAGCTGATTTAGGAGATCTCAACAGAATTTTAATCCTCATCAGTGGTCCTGTGTGTGGCCCCTGGGGCCCTGAAGCAAGGCTTCTAAAGCCTTTGGGTCCCTCAGTTAATTTCAGGTGGACAAACTGAGCTCAGAGCAGGCTCGCCTGTCCGTGACCCTGGAGTGGATATGAGGCACCCAGAGTTGGTGGCTCCTTCCTGCAGGTACTGGCTTACTGATTAGGGTGTCTCTGAGCTTAGGAAAGGCTCTGGAATTATCAGCCCCTGTGGCTGCTCAACAGGTTTTACTGCCCTGCTTTTGTTTGTTAAAACAAAGCCGAGGAGAGACTTGCCTGAATGCTGATTGCTTCTTCTAGGTGCCAAGGCGGGGGCAGTGCTCAGGAGACAAAGTCCAGGAACACTTTGTCTTTAAGAGAGTGGCTGTGGTGCTGGTGTGATGGCTTCTGGAATCCTTAGTGCCTTAACACGGGCTTTTGTGTTACATACCTTTCTACCTTACCATCGAGTGTGTGGAGGATTGCAGGGCAAAGGAATTACTGTGCATTTCATAATAGTGGCTTCTGAACCTCCTATGATGCACACCCAATGAGTCAAAAGATTGGAGCTTTTAATAAGGTAGTTTTTTCTTAAGATCCCCCCCCCTCACTGAAATGCACAAATCCAAAAAGAATAAGTAAACCCTGTTTAACTGCCCTCTGGTGGCCTATAAATGATTATATGTTTTATGCATGTAAAGTTCTCTTTTTTCTGTGAGAGGCAATATAAGGAAGTAGTTAAGACTGGAGCTAGCTGGACTGCATGGGATATCAGCTCTGCCACCTGTTAGTGATAAAACTACCCAGTGACTTTACCTATCTGTGCCTCCGTTTCTTCATCTGTAAAGTGGGAATAATAATTGCAGCTTACCTTTGGTTTGTTAGGATGAAAAGATTTCACATGTACAAAAAGTCTTTGAATATTGCTAGGTACGTAGTAGTAGCAAACACCTGACATGGCTCTATTCGTAGTTAGTATTTACTCCTGTCCCTGTCTTGTGTGTGCGATGTGTGTTCACAAACTTTCTCACCAAGGCTGGGAACACAGAATGAAAGGCGGCTGTCAGTGGGGGAATAGACCTTTCCTTTTCTGTTGGATCTGAGCAGATGTGCACCTGACAAGAAAAATAAAGTGAGGAGAGTGAAAAACCACCAACATGGCTTTTGTCTCCACAGCTGAAAGAGTGAAACAAGAGAATCTGAACCTTGTCTGCATTCCCACCTCCTTTCAGGTATGTCCTGCTTTCCATTCTGCATCTTGGCACTTGGCTGCTGAATTTCTGGGTCCTGAGGACATGGAGGTGTGGCTTTGGGTTGTGTACCAGGGTTGCTGTATAGGTGGGGGAGCCAGGAGCAGGAGAGGAGTTTATTTTCTGAGGATTGCTCCTTAGAAGTGTGGCCTTAGACGCATTCACGTACTCACTCTGAATATTTGAGTGTATCCTGTGGCAGCACGGTGTAGTATATGCAGAGTTTTAAAACTCTTAGCTGGTTGGGTATTTGCTCTAGTATCTGGAAACGACATGCTTTTCTTGCTATTTAAAATTTTTTTTCAACTTTGTGTAATAATTCTCCACGGAATGGATGAATGGAAGTGGGTGTTTGCTGGTTTTTTAATCTCCTTGCTCCCCAGTTCACAGGCAGCTTTCTCTCCTAATCCTCCAGTACAGTTACATTTTGGTGCAGCATTACTCAGTGTTTCCAGAGTTGTGATTGTCCAAACTACAGCTGAACTGTGTCCTGTGCTGTGATTATTCCTCCTTAACCTCCTTGCTACTTTGTTTTCCTGCAAGTGAAGTAAATGTTGCCTTTGCTTTTTTCATTTGCTTGGTTATCTATGTACACTTTACTAACTCGGGCCCAAGCTCTTACCCAGATGGGAAAATCTCACTTCTTTCTGGGTATTCCGCTCCATCCATCTCGTCTTGGCCGAGTCTCTGGGTCTTCGGGGTTGGTGACGTGTTACATAGCTTTGCAGTCAGGAACCTTCCTTCTCTTCTCCCCTTTTGGATCGCCCTGTTTCTTGGTCCTGTTTCTCCTCATTTCTCCCTCTGCTCCACCTCTTTTGTTTCCTTCGGTTTTAGTGAAGTACATCCTTTAGGAAGCTGTCTAAGTGTGTGGGATGCCAAGTTGTTGACAACTTTGGATGTCTGAAAATGTCTTTAAAAATTTTTGTTGTTTTAATTTTTATTTTACTTTTTTAGAGAGAGAGAGACAGAGGATATTAAGCAGGCTCCACACACAGCACGGAGCCAGATGCGGGGCTTAATCCTATGACCCTGGGACGGTGATCTGAGCTGAAATCGAGAGAGGGATGGGATGCTCAACCCGGGGGCCCCTGAAAATGTCTTTATTCTAGCCTTTCTTGAAGTTGGTTATTTGACTTAGAGAATTATATACTAGATCTTTTCTGAGGAAGTTTGAAGGCATTTCTCTATTGTGTCATTTTCCATTTGTTGAAAAAGGAGTTTGATGCCATTCTGATTCTTGATCCTTCGTATGAAACCGGTTTTTTACACTCTCTGAACCCTTATACCCTGATATTATCTTTTCCTTGTGTCCAGTGTTCTGACATTTCACCGTACTGTGTCTTAGTGTGGGGTTCGTTTTCATCTATTCTTCTGGGCACTTGCTGGGACATTTCATTCTGCAAACTCATACTCTTTAATTTGGGGGAGTTTTTTTTCTATCATTCCTTTAATTTTCTTGCCTCTGTTTTTTCTTTCTAGGATGTTTGTCTTATTCTTGGTGCTCGTGGCCTGTTTTGTCCTATTATCTTTTTAGTTTTGTCTTTTCTAACCCTTCTTTAAAAAAAAAAAAAGTTTATTTATTTTTGAGAGGGGTGGGGAAGAGGGGGAGAGAGAGAAGGAGACACAGAATTTGAAGCAGGCTCCGGGTTCTGAGCTGTCAGCATGGATCCCGATGCCGGGCTTGAACCCACGAGCTATGAGATCATGACCTGAGCCAAAGTCGGACGTTTGACTGACTGTGCCACCCAGGCTAAGCCTGATGACTTTGTTTTAACC